CCGCAGTCGGCACCTACCACCGTCCGGCCGCCGCCTCCCGCCCACCGCGACGGGGGCCCGCACCTCGGAACCGAGATCGGGGACCGGGGTGGGGGACGGAGGAGACCCGAGTCCAGGTACCAGTCAGCCTCCAGAAAAGGGGCGGAGGGTCATTCGTAGCGCCTGGGGAAGCAGTGGAACCTAGAAGCCATCTTGGGATGCGAGGAAGAAACCGCGATGGCCCCGGAGGTTGTTCCCGCGGGCCCGCAGGACTCCCCGCAACCCCCAACCGCGCTCGTCCGGGTGGAACCCCGGGCATCGGGCGGCAGCCGAAGACGGCTCCCGCGGCTTTGTACTCACTCTGCCCTCGAAGTTGTTCTCCTCTACATCACTCATGTCGACCAGGGGCTCCCCAGAACTAAATAAGAGACAAGTTTCGGCTCGAGGGCCGACGGCCTGGTCACCCCGCTGACTGGACCGTGGGAGAGCAGGAAAAGAGCCGGCAACAACGGCCGCCCCACTCCACTCCCACTCGGTCGCAAGCTCCGTCAAAATGGCGCCGCCGCCGCCAGAAATCCTCTGGCTTCGCCAGAGCGCGACGTAAGGGGCGGAGCTCTGTGACGTCACGGGCCCGCCTCCGAGGCTTTGTGTTCTCTGGGCCAGGCGCACCTGGAGTTTGGGCGCCTCGGAGCTGCTCCGCTCGGATGACGCGCTGGGCTCAGACCGTCCTCTAACGCGTTGATCCTTTTGAAGAGTTTCAGTCATCAGAGGAGCTTTTAATGACCTTTACCCTTTAAATATTGTCCACGTGGATTCTCCTGTCAGGGAACAGAAAAACTGAAAGTATAATTAATAGGCTTTTATTTTTGGATGTTTTCAGCAGACTTTTTTTCAAAAGCTTTTTGTAAAGGTATTGCTGCAAGGCGCACACATGGAGTAGTAGTGAAAAGCCTTCTCTTTTTGCAAGAATCTCCTACAGCCAACCTGGCCTGGAACTCCCTATGTAGCTCAAACTGGCCTTGAACTCAAAATCCTTCCGCCTCAGCATTTACAGTGACGGTATTACAGGCGTGAGCCACAAGCCCATCTCCACTGTCTTTTAAAATAGATATTTCCTTAAAACCGCTTAGACAAGACCTCTGAACTCTATCCACTTGAATCCCAATCGTAGTTATAATTTCTAAGATGACTTTGAGCTTAGATAATGCAAGAAAAAATTTTTTTGTTCTGTGTGATGAACCCAAGGCTTTTGCACTGAAGCACACCCCAGCCCCTTTAATTTTATTTATTTTGAGACAGGGTCTCGCTAAACCTCTAAATTGCCCAGACTGGGTTTGAATTATGGATCTTGCAGCCTATGCCTCCCACAATGATGTATTAGAGGCATGCACAAGCGTGCTGGGTTTTGTGTAATGCAATCTTTTTTTCCCCAAGACAGAGTCTCCATATGTAGTTCAGGCTGGCCTTAGCCTGTGCTGACTTCAAACTCAAGCCTCAGCCTCCCAAGTGTTGGGATTATAGGCACGCACCACTATGATCAGCTGTGTAATGCAATTTTAAAAACTAGTTCCCTCTTTCAAATCTTGCTCCTGTAATGCTTTGTGATGATAAAGCTGACATGACCTTCAACTATAGTTCATTGTTAGAAAAGTCAGTGGAACATTATTGGGAAGATTGCTATCTCTGGGTAAAATTTCAACATTTAACCATGTCAGTTATTGTTAAATGTGTATGATGTCTCCTTTTTAAAAAGAAAAGGGCACCAGGTTGATACCGTGCACGCCTCTGGTCCATCTTAGTATATTAAAAGTGAGACCACTTTGGTCAAGCAGGGCACAAGTCTAATTCCACCTTTCTCGGGGGCTGAGGCAGGAGGATTGAAAATGCTAGCCCAGCCTGGTTAATTTAGCGATTTAGTAAGTCCCTGTCTCAAAGTTTAAAAAGGAACTATAGATGGGGTTAAAGCTCAGTGTTTTGTTTTTCCTGGGCTGGAGATTGGAAACCACAATCTCACACTTGCTAAACACATGCTTTACCATTGAGCTATTTCCCCAGCTGAACATAACAGAGTTTTAAAAAAATCTATGTATGTATTCATATTAGCTTGTAAAGACACAGACTATCCTGGAAAGGAGTTGAAAAAGCTGAGATCTGTCTTCAGTTGGGGAAGGGGAAACTGAAAAGCTTAAGTAAAGGAATCTTTTTATTATAAACCTTTCCATTTGCTTCTGAATTTTGAGCAATGTCAGTATTGATGATTCAAATAGCATTTTAAACTATCAAAACTATTATTTATTTATTTATTGGTTTTGTGAGACAGGGTCTCACTATGCAGTTGAGCCTGACCTGGAACTCACTATGTAGCCCAGGCTAGTCTCGAACTCACAGCGATCCTCCTGCCTCAGCCTCCCCAGTGCTGAGATTGCAGGCGTGCGCCACCACACTTGGCACTACTTTTTAATTTTATTATTATTATTATTATTTTGGTACCAGGGATCAAACTCAGGTCCTTGAGCTTGTGAGGCAGGCGCCAGAACCACTGAGCTAAATCCCTGGCACTATTTTTTATTTTTAAAAAGAGCTTTACTGAGATAAAATTTACACATCAAACAATCAATGCTATTTTTATAGGGCAATAAGATTAAACTTTTTTTTGTTTTTTGTTGTTTTGAGACAGGGTCTCACTATATAGTTGAGACTGACCCGGAACTCACTATGTAGTCCAGGCTGGTCTCGAACTCACAGCAATCCCCTTGCCTCAGCCTCCTGGGTGCTGGGATTACAGGCCTGCGCCACCACGCCCGGCCTAGATTAAACTTAATTAATTAATTAATTAATTTTGATACCGGGGATCGAACTTGGGTCCTTGCACTTGCAAGGCAGGTCATGAACCACTGAGCTAAACCCCCGGCCCAAGTTTAATTTCTTTTTATGGAATCTGTTCCAGTTTTCAGAATTCTTTGTTGTTATTGTTGGCAAAGGGTCATCCCATAATGTAGCTCAGAGTGGCCTCCATCTTGGTATCCTCCTGCCTTAGCCTCTCAAGTGGTTGTGATTACAGGTTTTTGCCACCATCCCTGGCTCCAGTTTTCAGAAAATTTTGTGATTACATTCTTAGATATTCCAATGCCCCAGCCAGCAGGGCTTGTAATTAGCAAAGCTCGAGAAGGGGAGATACCTGGAAATGGGACAAAAGAGGCACAGAAAGAAGGAGACCAAGCAGAGGTTTGTCAAGGTCTCATTTATTTGCAGGCACAAGCAGTATATAAAGGCAAAAAACACAAAATTGTAAGAGGAAGTAGCTAATCATAAAATGATAAAGGAGAAACATATTGTACAGTAACAGTTATGATGAGATACAGTTGTTATGTAACAGATTAGGTCATTAAATGAGCAAGGCCATTAGTACAGTCATCGGCATGTCTGTGCCAGTGAGGTGACTCAGATGTTAACATGGAGGCAGTTATGTTAGGCTCAAAAACAACTCTCAGAGTATAAATATTTGGTCTCCTACATCTCCTCCCTTTTTACAGTAAAAAATGAAGAGATATATATCACGCAAGCCAGGAGCGGAGGCCAATTAGTTTAGAAAGACCATCCCAGGTGTCCTGATCTTGTCAGTAGGCTTTAACCATAGAGGGGGAGTAGAGGCCGGATCCCCGAGTTCTTTTTGATGCCGATTTTCGGGGAGGGGCTGTCACAAATGTTTTTTGGACTTTAGGCATCAGCCCCTATGCAACCAGGCTTGCTCCTCAAAGGACCCAGAAAGACAAACAAGTTTGTCTTATCCTTCCCCGGGTACTTTGTCCCGGGCCTCTGTAGGTGCCTATATCTGCTTTGGGATATGTCAGCTCTGGGTACTGACAGGTTCCGAAGGAGGTTTAGCAGGACTTAAAGGAGATTATTCCTTAGCAGGAGTCAGGTGGACAATCCTCCTCTGGATAGCCTTGATCAAGTAGATTGAGGTGATGGTAATGAATTTGGATGGACTTAGCTTGCATGATATCTATCTGTTGTTTGATAAAGGCCATGAGTTTATTAAATAATAGAGGCCCTATAGTTAATAATATTAAGAGCCCTAATAAAGGCCCTAGTAAAGGGAAGAGATAAGGCAAAAATCCATTGAGCCCAGTCCAGAAAGGATTTTCATATAATTCTTTTCTGTGCTTTTCTAAATCTTCCTGTAAGGTTTTAATTTTATCCCTGACAATACCAGACTTATTTGCATAAAAACAACATTTTTCTTGAAGGGCGAGACAGATTCAGAGGAGGCTTGGGAGTACATCGAATACGCAACAGAGCAAAAGGGAGAAGCTCCACCCAATTTAATTCAGTCTCTAGGCTCAATTTAGTTAAAATCTCTTTTAGTGTTCTGTTAGTTCTTTCTATCTGTTCTGAACTTTGAGGTCTGTAAGCACAATGTAAATTCCATCTAATTACAATGCTTAGGCTAATTAGTTTAGACACTTTAGCCATGAAGGTTGGGCCATTGTCAGACTTTTAAAGCAAAAAAAACATAAATCTAAGAGGAGGGGACATGATAATACCATAACAATCTTATCTGAACTAAAACAAGCATTAGGAACTTCTATAGAGTCAGGAAGTCATAAAACATCATATGACTCAAAAAACTCGAAGGTTGTTAAGTTTGAGAAACTTCAGAGCAGCACAAAATGTCTAGCAAGATAAGAAGAAATAGGCATAAACATAAACTATCATGGGTAATAGTAACCTTGGCAATTATAATGGCTGGGTAACAAAGATAAGGAACTACAGTCTTAGGAAACAGAAACTTAGTCACTAAAACAGAAATTTAACTCTAAAATGGTTCCACTTAGCTTAGGATGACAGCATTCCTGCCAGCTCGCAGGCCAGCGCCCAATAATTCCTCCTTTGTTTTTATAAATTTTGATGTTTTTCAAGGGTATGTCCGAGCCTGTCTTAGGTTGGGAAAAGCGTTTGGCTGTCTTATCCGTCATTGGGGTCATCTGTTTTATAGGTCTATAACATGATGAAGATTTAACAGAAGCCCCTGTCTTAGGTTGATCAGTCAAAACTTTTCCTCTTACCCGTCTTTGACTTTCTGGACCCTCATTGAAGCTCTCTTTTTATCTGAGCGAGGTAAATACCCAAATTTTCGGAGGAACCTTCTTTAAGGGCCAAGAGCACATGTAATGTTTTGCGCTGTATATAAACTTGATTTGAGATAACACAGTATTTATGATATTTCACATATTAGAGGCCCCATGCCAAAAACATTCAAACTAAGGCTAGTAACTTTGACATCTGACAATAAGCGTATTTCTCCCAATGCAGCAGCAGGTTTCCAAATGTTGGTTTGAGGAAAATGTGAATCTGTTTTCTAAAGTCCTGCAGATAAGCTTAAGTTTGTGGAATTTCGAAATGACCAGTCCCATAAATCCTCATTCTGGATAAAGAAAGGAAACTTTGCTTTTTGGAATGAGATTTCCACTTGTGCACCGAGACACATCCTGGAGTTTTCTCTGCTGCTTCAGTGTTGGGGTCCCAATCCAGTCTCCTCAGTGGAAACCCAGTGTCAAGCTGTTCAGGGATAGTGGTAGGTCTATAAACATATCTACAACCATAAGTAGGTGGAGCAGAAGAGAAGGGAGAATACCTGGACCAAAAGGTTATTATCATAAACAATATGCTGGAAAACCTGCATGGTCAAACAATATGAATACGTTTTGTATACCAGAAAAGTGGCAATGTAGCTTTGTATCAACAGGATCTTCCCTTTTTTTTTTTTAACAGAAAATAGTATATTTTGAAGATAAC